TGCAGCCTCCTCGGCTAAATAATCATTAGCAGCTGTTTATGTTGTAGTTAGTTAGCACTTAGCAACAGTATAAATTACCTTATCCTCTCAGCTGTAGTGTGGTTCCCAGTTTTAGGGCTGAGACAGGCAAGAAAGAGTAATTTCATATCTTCACTAAAGGCAGGACTGACGAGCTAAGTGTCTAACATGTGAACTTTAGTGGAATAATGCAGAAAGCTGAGCCTCTGTGTGCTGTTCCAGGCTCGCTAATGAACTCCTATCACATTTCCTGGACTCATGCTTGCAACACGCAAAGCCGAAGCTTTAACGTGAGCACAGGGATAGCTCATGTTAACATGTTTACCAGTCCGTCTGCTAAATGATCCCCTGGAAACACATGACGGCACCCATTTTTAGTATCCTGTTGAGAGACACTCATTTAAGAAGGGAGTTGACCCCAAAAAACACACCGACAGAGAGCATATTCACTGTCTCCTTACAACTTATTAGCGGTACCAAAAACAAAAAAAACAACATAACACGACCACTTCCTCCTCTCGATGGTTCAGCGCCTGCGTAAACGGAACAGATCTACAAGTCACACGGATGGGCTGGTGTCGCCTTGCTTTAACGGGCACGTCGGCTACGTTCCACGTTAAGATCGTCTCCACAGCAACGCGAGTGTGACAGTTAGTCGAGCTATGTGTCACGCGGCAGTACTGTGACAGTGTTGTTTTTTTTTTTTGTTTTTTTTTTGTTGACTTCCAGTTCTGCTTTGCCGAAGTGTTGATTTAAAACGAGACAGCGTAAACATTTGAGCGGTAACTGCTGTCTAGGTTAATGGAGATAACTGAGGACCACTGGGACGTGTTTCAGTAATTAAAGGTAAGGTATAAAACACACTCTCAGAAAGCTATCGCTATGCTAAAGCTGGGTTTGTTATGTGTCTGCATTAGCTGGTTAAGATGAGTAAAGGGGGTCTACTCGGGTAACTCAGATGTTGTGAGTTGGGTACAGCTAGTTAGTTGTTTATGTGTAAACAGTATGTGTAAACAGTGTTGATGTTTGACTAATTTAAAGTCCCCTTCCAGTCAGAAATATGTGTTTCTTGTTGTCCCTACAGTGTGATGTTTGAGTGCTGTATGTGCAGAGTTTGACACCAGAAGGATGTTTTCACATTTATCTGCTGACAGTGGAAAGTTTATCCACTTAAGAAATCAGGTTGTTGTTTTTAAAGAGAAGGGGGCCCACGAGCATGATTTGTGACATCAACAGTAGTTTTAAAGTCACACCTGGTCCAGTGTGACACTTCAACAGGTGTGAGGTAGAAACCTGAAGCCAACCAGTGAGAATGGACTTTACAGTGAAGGAGGAGACATCTTGTGTCCAGCTGGAAAACATCTGAAAAATTACCAAAATCTGCATATTCATAGATTCTGCATTTATTATTTTTAGGTAAGAGTAATTATGGATTAGTCATGGGACAATATATGAATATTTCTAGGGTTATTTAAGATTTCCGTACTCAACTAGTGGTCGTTAGTTAAAGCCAATAGCCAACTAGCGTGTTTATGATATTAATTAAATTAATTAATGAATTATTCGAATTATATATATATATATATATATTTTAACAGAATAAGTGGTAATGATTCTGAATGTGTCCGAACAACCAGCAAGGAGACTGAACATTTAGTTTATTTATTTCAACACAGTGTAACATCACGTTTTATTGTTCAAAACACAGAATAAACAACTTCCAAATTCACTGAAACAAATACTCCCTGATTTACCGATACAATGGATGATGTATATGATGTGTGTGTGTGTGTGTAAATGTGTGTGTATGTGTGTATGTAAATGTGTGTGT